GGCACCACATGGCGTAGTAATTCCCTCACAGATAGTGTTATGAGGGGCATCACATAATTCCCTCACAGATGGTGTTATGAGGGGCATCACGTGGTGTAGTAATTCCCTCGCAGATGGTGTTATGAGGAACTTCACATGATGCTGTAGCAACTCATTCACTACGTGGTGTCGTGCATCATGGGGACACCACGTGATCTGTTGTCACAGGACTTCACTCACTCAAGTGGGTGAGGTGTGGTCCCAGGCCTCCCTATCGTGGAATCTCAGGGGAATTATCACTGGGTACCCGGGACCTCACTGTGTGAAGGTTAGCTTGGCTCAGACTCAACTGCCGAGTTGTTTTTCACTGACTAAAGCACTGTTCACCACTATTCAACACGGGTTCCATTCCTTTCCCAAATGAAATAGTAACTTCTGGCGAGAACTTGTTGATATTCCGGTGGGGAGGAGCGTTCAGAGGAGGGAGTTGGCATGGGCCAACATAACAGTTGACGTGGCTGCTCCTGAGCAGCGCCAGGTGCGTCTGACCCGTCTTGACCCGTCGGTGGTCAAGGATGAAGTGAGTACCTATTTATGTCTCTTATCAGTGTTTGCTTAGTTACATTTAAGTAATTCAGTGTTGTTTCATGTTAGTTAATTTCAGTGTTAGTTATTTTATATGTTTATGTAGTGTTAACGTAATCCAGTGCTTTATTTTTATTCTATATATTTAAGCAGGTCACCAAGGACGTGACAAGTGCTTGGCAGAAATCAGAAAGAAATATTCCTGGAACACAATGAAGAAAGATATAGAATTGCACATTGCTAAGTGTTTGTCATGTGCTCAACATAAGGGCACTACAAGGTCACCGGCACCGATTCTACAATATCCTACACCAGACCGTCCGTTTGACACAGTCGCTATTGACTTGTTACAACTTCCGAGGAGTCATCAGGGATCCTCGTACGTCCTAGTGTATGTGTGGATCATTTTTCTAGATTTGTGGTTTTAGTCCCACTGAAGGATAAAACAACCGAATCTGTGGCCCATGCCTTAGTGATGAATCTAATATGTCCATATACTACGCCTAAAGTTCTTCTCTCAGACAATGGAACAGAGTTCAAGAATCAGCTAGTAGCACAAATATGTGTCCAATATGGAATACAACAAAGTTTTGTGACAGCCTATCATCCACAGGCTAATGGCCTTGTTGGGAGGAACACTCGCAAGATCCTGGAGATACTGCGCCCGATTGTGTGTGATTTGCAATGCACATGGGAAGATTGGTTACCGCAGTTGGAGCGTCTATTAATGGGTCGATTAATAGCTCTACGGGCAAATCACCCTACTACATTGTCTATGGTACAGACAAACGTCTGCCTTATGGTGTACTTACGGACAAGCCAGGCCCTGTTTATAATATGGATGATTTCGCGGCAAAACAAATCCATGTATTTGCGGATATTCATGGCCAAGTAAGAACACACTTAGCGGCGTCACGCGCTGAAATGATTATGAAGCAACATAAACAAGCTAAACCTGTCGTGTTACAGATAGGCGATGCTGTTATGGTAAGAGAACCTGAACGGAACTCCAAGCTTTCGGCTAAATTTTCGGGTCCATTCCGCATTATCGCCAAAGAAGCGGGCAACAAATTTAAAATTTGTAAGCCTAATGCACAGATCGCAGATGTCGTGCACGCGGATCGGCTTAAGAAGGTCCATGAACATTTATCACCCACAGATGGTAATAATGTTATAAACACCTCTTTGCAGACAGTATAGAAGCAGAGTGTGCCTAATGAATATTGTATGAAACTTCGTTCTGCAAGCAAACAATAAACGAATAAAAATTCCGTATGGAATGGCTTGGATCATCAGTGTGCTGCTCCTACTGCTCTGTGGCACCGTTGTGTTGACAGATATGTCCACAGAAGTCCTCAAGCCAGGTGCGCTTGTTGCACCCCTTGGAAGCGTTTTAGGTGTAGAGGACGTGGTGAACATATAGTAGCCTATATAAGGATTGTTTAATTTTGTGGGTCTTATCAATAGCATTTTGTTTGGCACAGCGACTGCCGATGATGTAGCTAAGTTAGGGGATCGCATGAACACTGAACTAATCGACAGCATCGTGGATGCAGGGTTAGGGCGTGTGGATGCAAAGCTTGTGCCTGTGAAGACTTCTTGAACCTTTGCAGATTGCCATGTTGACGTATGAGTTAACTCCAACTTTCAAGGTTCATGAGATGGACTGTTATTATCCTCTGTTGGAGTTAACTCTCACACACAATGCTATCTTTATCCACATACCTATGCTAAAGCAGCATAAATTTAATGTATGGGTTTTAATCCTTCCCTTGGTATGTAAATGACACACTGTATACTCTGGATAGGCCAAAAGAACTTTTGCTTGTAGATGAAAAATATTCCTTTTTAGCATTAGATGATCCTAGGGTATTATCGCGGTGTAAGTCGTCATATTTACATTTACATGTATGTCCAGCCTATGTCTTCACATTATTCCTGCTGCAGAAGGGATATGTGAATTGGCAGTCATACAAACTAATGTACGCACAGCGCTCACACAGTGTGGCTATAGGCCAGTTCGTGAAAAAACTGTGTTTCATGCTCATCTGCATATTGAGCAGTACTTTTTCTTTCCTAATTAGACTACTGTCATTTTAAATGCCACGATGTTGGTAAGAAGTTAGTTGTGAAAGGTTGTTACAAGGCTCCGGATTACTGTGAAATAACTTGTAGTTCATTTGAGACCTTGCCTACTCATCAGCATTTTGATTTAAAAGTAAATCTAATTTCGGATTTGATTCCCTTGTTTCAAGTAATGAACTTCACTATTAGTGACCTTAATATTGTCTCAGAGAAATTGACAGTTATGTCCTACTTGAAAGAGTCACAATTTGCCGATTTGAGTGATCAACTGCTATTTTATTTTTCACAGGGATTTGCAATACCAAGTTAAACTATTCCCACTATTGTGTTAATTATGGAAGTTTTTTTTTTTGCTATTATAATTCAGTATCTTCCAAATTGAACATTGTACATAATATACTAACCTATAAGTCACTTAAGTCTAGGGCCCCAGTAGTTGATGAAAAACCCACGGTTGCAGAGTCCCCAGCTTAGTATCTACATATATGTTTGTAACATGGTTAGGTTTATGTATAGGATGTATTCTGCGAGTTTAGTTTAGTCCTCGCGGAGCTTGGAAGGTAGGTGACCGAGCGATGTAATGGCCCCCGTCTCATCAACAGAAAGATTATATAAATGGATTAATTACATATTGATTTACATACATAATCATCCCCTGTAACTTTCCACTAGCTATGAGGTGTCATCTTGATGGCATCTGGTCGGCACCCTTCCTTATAAGGTGTGGCCAGAGACAGCTTAGGTCAGCATTTGAAAGGGCCTGGCAATCTGGCAATCCGGGCACTGACGCCCTGAGGCCTCACTCTCCCTCCACGCCTCACATAGAAAGAAAGACTTTAAGCAGGACTATTTACATAACCTCCGTCCTTCTCTTAACACTCATAGTTACAGTGATAAGTTACGGTTGATTTACTCTTTGGAATTGTCTTAGTTGTTCCTGAATAAATGGATAACAGACAACTTGGGTTTTGCTACTAATACCCAATAAAATATAAACATTCCAGCCTAGTTAACTTCGACAGAACCTTACAGTTAACAGGCTATGACATATATATATATATATATATATATATATATACATATATATATATATATATATATATATATATATATATATATATATATATATATATATATATATATATATATATATATATATATATATATATATCCTGTCAATGAATAGGATGTATTCCTTTGTGTATGATCCTCTGTCCTGCGTGGCAGTGAGAAGTGATACAGAGTATTAGGTTTTATATCTAGAAGTGTAAGTAACAAGATTGCAGAGGTCTTATTGCAACTATATCTTGCGCTAGTCAGACCGCACCTCGAGTATGCGGTTCAGTTCTGGTGCCCTTATTATAGAATGGATATCAATTCACTAGAGTCGGTGCAGCGAAGAATGACAAAAATGATTCCGGGACTTAGAAACCTTCCATATCAGGATAGGTTAAAGAAACTTAACTGGCATTCCCTAGAAAGACGAAGAGTGCGGGGAGATATGATAGAAGTATTCAAGTGGGTGAAAGGAATCAATAAAGGGGATATAGATAAAGTTCTTATAATATCCGAGCAAGATAGGACTCGGAACAACGGATTCAAGTTGGATAAGTTTAGGTTTAGGAGGGAGATAGGAAGAAACTGGTTTACAAATAGGGTGGTGGACGAGTGGAACAAGCTTAGCAACTTTGTAGTAAGTGCTGGAACTCTGGAAAGTTTCAAAAGGAGGCTAGATAGATTCATGGATGATAGAGAGTGGTAGTAACTCTCGACAGGAGCTGCCATGCACAGGCCAACCGGCCTATTGCAGACTCCTTATTTTCTTATGTTCTTATGTTCTTATGATACCACCCTCAGTGTCAAGACCTGACTGAATTACTCAGAAAAGGCAAACTGTACTCCATGCTTTGTCAATAAATTTGTTAAACTAAAGTTAAAGTCACTGCATGCTTCTCTTAGTCTGCTTGGCATAAGTAATTCAACTCTTACATAAAATCCTTTATGAAATAAAATTTGTAGCATAAGACCTGAGATTCATTATAAAATGATAACAACTGTTTTTTTCATCATGTCAAGTGAAGTGACAGATAAATAAACAACAAAATAACTGTTAGTGGAAATGTAATGCCGTAGAAGACATCTCAAACAACACAACAAGGCGCTGTTCGAGTCCCATGATGAGTCTCTGGCTTCCTGAAATAAAACCGTATACATTGTATATATTTTTATGTATTTGAAAATAAATATGAATTATATTTATTTCATAATAATATATAGACGAATATTAATATTTTAAATTTTGTAAATGTATAAACAATTATATGAAATCTCTCGGTTAAGTCGGAACAGTAAACCTGAACCCTAAGGACGCATGGAGGTAACCCAGCTACGGTCGTCGAGTTAAAACATCAAAAAATGTCTATAAAAAGTATCAAAGTCCTGTCGAGGAACCCAGACCACCACCTTCGAGAGACTAAGAATGATATACATAAAAGTAAGTAGGTACAAAGTGCACATTGACGTGAAGAACTGTACCCTAAACTTGGACAAGCAGTAGGCAGCTACCAGACGGAGAGGTGATGTTGTCTCACACTCAGGATGGTTGGAGAAAGGAAACTCACAATGCATTTACTGTACATATATTGTATTGGATGTACAGTGCTGGGATGTTGCTGCGTGGAGTAGAGAGAGCTGGTTGGTGAGGAGCTTGCTGAGGGAGCTGGTTGGTGAGGAGCTTGCTGAGGGAGCTGGTTGGTGAGGAGCTTGCTGAGGAGCTTGCTGAGGGAGCTGGTTGGTGAGGAGCTTGCTGAGGAGCTGGTTGGTGAAGAGCTTGCTGAGGGAGCTGGTTGGTGAGGAGCTTGCTGAGGGAGCTGGTTGGTGAGGAGCTTGCTGAGGGAGCTGGTTGGTGAGGAGCTTGCTCAGAGGAGGTGTTGCGGGCTCAGGTAGGAGAAGAAGGGAATCCACTGCGAGGTGAGGTCTTATATAGCGTAGGTTGATAGCCGACTCCGCCCTGTTAGACCACGAGGCATTGGCTGGGGAACTCGACAAGGGATTGGCTAGTCAGCGACAAATGGCAGTTGTAGGTGTAGGGGACATATCCACTACAGGACTACCGCTTGGGAAGGTATTGGAAGCATAATAGGTATTATTTTACTTTAGGACTTAGCCCGCCCGATAGCTATAAATTACTGAAACATTTAGATCTCGCTATTCTGGACATTTTGAACGCCATATATACATGGCGGACATAGATAATAGCGATACAATTTAATTGGTAAGTTTTTACTTTAGAACATAAGAAAAAAAGAATCTGCAATAGGCCGGTTGGCCCGCTCATGGCAGCTCCTGTTGAGTTACGGTGTTATTGCTTTTAAACATTCCACATTCCTACCGCTAATCAATTATCATATTCTAATAAGACGTCTAATTATAAGGTCATTTTCATCTATTACATTACCGTCGCAAATGTATAATAACGGAGATATCATATCCAAAATTTTCTCGATTTTCTTCCATTAATCTTCTGCCATTTATCGCGTACCTCACCTCTCACTTTGCGTGTCTCCTCCATAAATCATCACGCGCATGCGTTCCCGTACACGTCATGCGATGAATCAAAGGCGTTTTTTTTTTTTTGCAACCACTTAAAATGATTTTGGGTTTAATTCGTTGTATATTTGGCTCAATCAAATTCGAGTTTTATTTTGGGTCTCTCATATTTCAAAATTCAAGTTCAGTTCCGACCATGGAAGTCTGCGATGGGTGTTACTTAAATTATATGGAGCTGATTGCGAGTTTTTTGGGGAAAAAAACAAAGAAACTATAGCATTTTTTTGATCGCATGGTGTTATTCCAACCTCAGTAAAGTGTACTAAGAGCAAGACAATGTAAATATTGCAAAGACCAACATATGTGGCGTTGTTTCAGAATCTCAGAATTCAACGACAATCAAGAACCTGGTCTCCAGGCCAATAAGGTAAGAAATAGGTGATTCCATTATATGGTGAGTCAGTTAGGTTAGGTTTGGTTTTTGTTTTTCTATTGTGTTTTGGTGTATTTTTTATTCGCTTAGCCATTAATTTTTTTCGAAAAACGTCTCACGAAAAAAAATTCAATAAAAAAAAAAAGGCCAATTTCCCACGGAAATGAAGGTCATATTCTGTCTAAACACACACAAATAAAATAGAAAAATATATTTTTTCTTTTCTAACAGAGTGGGTGGTGGAAGTGCAAGTTTACCACAGTTACTACCACTCTATCATGAATCGGTGGATGGAAAAAAAGTCTCAGAAAATAAGTCACAATTTATTTAAATTAAGGTAATAAAACTAATAATATTTTAAAAGCTTTATTAACTGACAAAACATAACTTTTACATATTGACAACAGAATTTCTATATCATGCAAGTAGGTCAGGTTAAGTTAGGTTAAGTTAAGTTAGGTTAGGTTAGGTTTTTCTGTGACTTTTTTCTTGTGACTTTCTTTTCTGTGACTTTTTTCCCTGTGACTTTTTTCTCACTTTTTTCCTGACTTTTTCCCTGGATTCCATGAACCTATCTAGCCTCCTTTTAAAACTTTCCAGCATTCCAGCACTTACTCCAAAGTTACTAAGCTTGTTCCACTCGTCCACCACCCTATTTGTGAACCAGTTTCTTCCTATCTCCCTCCTAAACCTAAACTTATTCAACTTAAATCTGTTGCTACGAGTCTTATTTTGCTCGGATATTATAAGAACTTTATCTATATCCCCTCTATTGCTTCATTTCACCCACTTAAATACTTCTATCATATCTCCCTGCACTCTTAGTCTTTCTAGGGAATGCAAGTTTAGTTTCTTTAACCTATCCTGACATGGAAGGTTTCTAAGTCCTGGAATCATTTTCGTCATTCTTCGCTGCACCGACTCTAGTGAATTGATATCCATTCTATAATAGGGGCACCAGAACTGAACAGCATAATCGAGGTGCGGCCTAAGTAGCGCGGCCTGACTTTAGGACATGAGCCCCAAGGGGTTGACCAATATGTTTTCCAGTGTATTTTGGTGTGTTTTAAACGAATCTGACCTTCATTTTTGGTGGAAATTGCTAGTTTTTGCCCTCCCCCCAACAATAATGGAAGAGACCCTGGGAAATCGTGGTTTTTGGGTGGGGGAGAAAACGAAAACGAGTCATCTGACCTAACAACACCTAACCTAACTCCTAGCCAGGAGCTCTGCCCCCGGGCCCCCAGTAGGCTTAACCTGACCCCTAGCCGGGGTCTCCGGCCTCGTTAGGCGTAGCTTAAACTAACCTAAATGTTTCACTAGTTAAAAAACTGGGGCGCGCCAGGGATACATAAGAATTGGATAGAATAATCGTCTTTCTCGTAAAACTCGGCAATAAACTTAAAATAATCGTAGGAGCATAAATGACAACCAACCTCCACCACGGCTAATGTGAGACTGGTCAGTGAGATTAAAATCGTACCCAGGCTGCTTCCTTTGAAAAAAAAATCAAATGTGATTTGTCGAAAAAAATTCGCGTGATGATATCAATACCGCATTGGTCTATTAATACAGTTGCAGCCGGTGGCTGAAAATATACAGACTTACATTTGATTTAGACATAATGATATAATATGCATTGAATACATTTACAGGGCTGTACAGTACATGAATCAGGAGTTTTTTATTATTTTAACAATAGATGGGATGGTGCTATACTTATATCTATCGGTGCGGGCTCTTATGGGCTGTATATTGTTGTAGTGGCGGACTGCGCGAGTTGGGTGGGGGGGCGATGACGAGGGTGGTGCAGTACTGTAGTCCACTGCCAAACCTCTCCAGTGCTTGGTGGTGGAGGTACTGAGGGATGGCATTTCCAGGGTGGAGAGAGTGTAGCCGGAGTATTCTGCGCCGAGCATGAAAGGCCGGCACCTCCCTGAGTCTTCAGCGCCTTTTTCCACACCATCCCTCCTGTTATTTTCTCGAACAGGACAGTATATGGTGGGATATAGTTGCCCTGGAACCTGATGCCTTTGTCTTCACTTGCAGGGGGATGATTTTCCTTCAGTTGTTTTAATGTCTCTCTGTTTATTGGCAGAACCCAACGGAGGATTCCTCTGTGAGAGATCTTACCGCCAAAGACACTTTTCCCACTCGCATTTTGTTTCCAAACTTGGTCGGCTGTCACTACATGAAGTGACTGTTTACTTGTGGGAGGCAACCGCAAACGTAGAACACTTGGCCCCAAGGGGGCAAGAGTCTTGATGCCCCCCCCCCCCTCCAAAGTAGGCCTATCGACACTGGCACTGGCACCTGGCCGTCCGACCAAGCACTCCCAACTCGCTTGGTGATCGCCGGTGAACACACGGACTATTTGCGATTAATGCCGTAAGGGATGAGAAGAACCTTCGGTGACAATGCTTAGGGTGACATCCGACACACTGTGAAATTCCCGCTCCCACACTGAATATGTCCCCTCCAATACCACTTTAGATCAGGGAGGACACTCCACCACACCCACGCCGCGCTGGCCGCTACTACTGACCGCTAAGCACAATTGTCATACAACATTTGTTTCTTTCGAGTTGAAATTGTCACTTTTGTATATCACATGTGGGTTGATCATCAATCTTTGCACTGTACTGTTGGTGTGAGGATGTTGATAAATCCATATTGGAAGGAGGAGATGGGGAAAGGGAGGGCCCGACAGACCAGGCTGGCAGCTGTCTCCATGGTCAAGAGACCACGGCCGCGTTAGCGGGCATCGCCGACTACACGCGTTCTTATCCTATGAAGGTTGAAGGAAGTGTTAGTTATCAACCCATATATGTGTACATGTAATTACTAAATGTAAAATGGTAACACTTACCAGCACTGTAGGTGAAGAATGAAGCATCATAGTAGGTGACACAGATGCATGGTAGGTGACACAGAGGTACGGTAGGTGACACAGGTATGGTAGGTGACACAGAGGCATGGTAGGTGATGCAGGTGGCCAGATATGCTGAGATTTTCCCAGATAATTTTATATATACAGTCTCCTTGACTTACGACAGGGTTCCGTCCCGACGACCAGGTCATAATAAGCCAGTCTCATCCGCATTAAATATTTTCTCAGGCAAATAATTTCCCTCCACGATGACACGATCTAGCTCCTCCTTAAAAGCTTCGGCAGCACCCACATCAGCACTTGCTGCCTCTCCACTCACCTTTACACTGTGCAAACTGTTACGTTTCTTAAACCTTTGGAACCACCCATGACTGGCTGTGAAATTTTGGTCGCTTTCGAAAAGGCTTCTTGCGTTATCGTTAATAGGGGCATATAAAACTCCTTTTTTATTCTTAGGCAAATATATGTTTAAACGTGGGGCCTACTTAATTTATTTATAACATGAGGAATATTTAGATAAGAAATTATACCAATAGGTTATAGGTTAGGTTTGGTTTGGTTAGGTTAGGTTAGGTTAGGTTAGGTTAGGTTAGGTTAGGTTAGGTTAGGTTAGGTTAGGTTATGTTTGGTTTGGTTTGGTTTGGTTTGGTTTGGTTTGGTTATGGTATGTTAGGTTAGGTTAGAGAATGTGTACATGGGTTTTTTTTTGGTGAGGTTCAGGCTGTCAGTGAGACACTTTATCTAGCAGCTACCTCAGGCCTAGTTCCAGACTTTTCATGAACAGTATCATAGGGTAGAGTATTAATATAAGAAAATTTACGGCTAATCCGATATATTTTCATGTTTTAAATTGTTGTTTTTTTGTATGAACTTAAGACAATTCAGACCAAATGACCCAAACATTGAAAGGAAAACACCAGGGTCTAGGCTAAATGAGTAATTTATGAGAAGCGATTTGTCATTTAGGTTAGGCAAGGCTATGATAGCAGAATAAGGCTATCTTATTATAGCTTATGTGTCTTGTCACAGGCCAGCATTAGGCCCATGGTTATTTACCCAAATTCTATTTTGGGTAAAACACCAAATACTGTGAGATCTCTGTTAGCCGGAACAATTGGTGAAGAGCACTTCCGTGAATGAGAGTTTTCCCGTTAACGAGACGATTATCTCAAATCAAGAAAATATCCCTCGTCCCCCGAATGTTTATGGTAATGGAAGAATGTTCTCGGTAGTTCCTGAAAGTGCCCTTTACATCATCTCTCGAACCCAGAAATATATCCCCCATCTCCGGAATTTTCTCGGTTATCTGGGAACCTTTTCTCATAATTTTCAGGAAAATGTGCCCCTTTGAAAATCATTACCTAAGCTATAAGTTTCCTGCAAAATCATACTTTGGGAATGATTTTTCGATAAAATTTCAATTCCGGCTATCAAAAAGTTTCGGTTTGAGGGATTCCAGCTGTACCTACTATACCTAATAAAATGAACACGGGTCAAAAGATTCTACGCTGCTGAGAAGGCTGCTGTTCCTACCAGAAAGCAGCTTCAAATGCGAGTATGTGACAGACAAGAGGCAAGAGGATGTCTTTTAAATGCTTTTAACACTCTTATTTAATTTCGTACTGAACAATTTTATTCAGTTTAAAATGTGTACATACAGATATATTAGCACGCTGTGCATTTTTCAGTATTTTACCCCTAAGAGCCAGGCAAAGGTAGTAATTTTTTTTTCACAGGCATAACCCTTCTATTCTAGGCATTTTTGCTAACCTCCCTCGTATAGCCCCAGTTTTAGTGCATAATTTCTTTCCAGCAGATTGATGACGCAAAACTTGGACCTCATTTTTTTTTACCCTGCAATGGAGTTGATTTTAGTTTATTTATAGTCGACAATGATGCAGAGATAAACAATCCAGCTGTAGGTGTTGCCGAAGCAAGGACGGGCCAAGCAGTCCTAGCCAATATAGTCCGTAATTAGTTTAGTTGATGAATTAAAAGCACATATCAATTCACTGATATTTTTTTCCTCTAAGTTTAAGAATTATTTTTTTATTGCAGTATACAGAGGTAATGCTAATGGAGCGTATATTGATTTCACTTTTATTTTCAACATACTGTACTGTACATAATAAAATAAACTTCTTTATCGAAAATAAAGAAAAAATTGGCTATCTTTTACCTTCATATGATAAACATTTGATATATGAAAATTCAGTATATACTATATTCTTGAGCAAAATTGATTACAATACAGCTGTATACTTTTAATGCCACTACAGTGATCCCTCGGTTAACGAACTCAATCCGTTCCAGAAGGTCGTTCGTTAACCGAAAAGTTCGTTAACCGAAACCATTGTTTCAATGGGTTTTTGGGTAATTGGTTCCAGCTCACCGAAAATTTCCTAAATTCAACAAAAATGGTAGAAAAGTTCTTTTACTTTGAGGTGTGTATGGAGAAGGCTGCTGGATGATGATGATGATGGGAATTAGAATGGGGGCGGAGGAGAAGGAAGAAGAGAAGGCATTGGGGTGGAAGAGAAGTCACCCCATGGCACCATTTCACCCATAAAATTTTAGTTCTCTTGGTGTATTTCAAGATTATTTTCTTTAAATCAACACTGCACTGCATTATATATTGTCAATATGTAAAATATATTTCAAAATGACCAATAATTTGCTTGGAAACACAGAAAAAAGCGTTTAGTTGAAGAGTCTCAAGCAAGATGTTACCTCCAGTGAAAACAGAGAGAGACTAACGCCTGTTTGCTGTGTTAAAAGGCTGGATGCCGTGCATTAAACTAGCCACTTTACCTTCAATTATGTCCAATAATTGTTAAAATGACTAAAAAATTGAATATTAAACTTTTAAAATTAGTGAATAGTATACAGTATACTTCTTGATATTTACTAAAATAGTAAAGAATTTAAGCCTTAGAACCGATTAATGTGTTGGCGGACTGATACTAAAGCTGGTTGCCCGGTCAGTGCAAGCGAAAACATGTTGAGGTCGGTTCGTAAGAAATTCGTTAACCGAATTGAAGATCCTTATGGAAGGCAGTTCGTTAACCGAAATTTCGTTAACCGAGGCGTTCGTTAACCGAGGGATCACTGTACTAAATACCAAAGGCACTCAAGTTTGGAAGAAAAAACATCATTTTATAAAACATATTTGAGAACTTTAAAAAAAGATCTCCACTATTTCCTTGTTAAACTGCACAATTTGACATGGGTCACCACATCCTTCTGAAAGAATAATACAACTACCCGGTACTGGTAATTGTTGCCATTTTTAAGTTTTAAAAATGGAATACAGCATATAGTCAACCCTCGCTTTACGCGGTCCCACTTTACGCGCTTCCACGTTTACGCGGTACCCTGCCGAAACCAGAATGCTCACTTTCTGCGTGTGTATACCCTTTTACGCGGAGAGCAGCGCGAGCAGGGTGCGCACAAGGTCGCCCAGTCATCAAAACATTACCGAGTTCTTCACCCGCCACCCACCACAGCCGGCCCAAGTCAGTGATAGTGATAATGATAGTGAGGATATGGACTTATATGGACTTTGAGGGGTTTGACAAAGAGGCCCTGCAAGCCTCTGTGGTGGATAGTGATACAATTGATACAAGTGATACAGGTGAGGGCCAATAATCTGCCCTCTGCCTCGGAACCAACCCCCCATCCCCGTGTGCCCAGCCATCTTTTCTACTAATGTAAGTGTTAAAAAACCTAATATTGATATTTCTCTTAATTATTAATTGTGTGTGCATACCATCATAAAATTAAGATGTTGTTTTGACTACAAGGTACATATTGTGTCAGGAAAAAGTGGAGTTTGGGGGTCGGCCCAGTCTCTATTTCAATTAATCCCATGTTCTGTTGTTCCATTTACGCGTTTCCCATTTTACGCGGGCCTCTGCGGGTTCAATTGACCGCGTAAATCGGGGTATTACTGTTTGTAGTTTATAACAGTAACCAAACCTACCTAAACTAACTTCATTACCAACGGGAGGCCTCCGCCACCCTGGACCACCCAGAAGAATATTAAATATCTCTGTTCCATGTCATTTAAGACACAATGATTAGTGTCTTAAAATTGTCTCGACTAAATGATAGGTATATTAAGAAAATCCAAAAATTGTGCGGCAATTATTAGCAGTAATACCGACTAGCCTTTGGGTTCATTTATCGGCGGTACAGTTTTTACTTTTTATTCACACGGCAAACTTCAAAGAATGGTGTTTCTTTTAATGAATGTTCTCATATAAGGAAAATATTTTATATTAATTCACGATGAAGAGCCACCATACACTACTTCCTTGAGTTTACAACCACCTCAAATCGTAGCAAGCCTCAGAAAAAACAGAGTTAAGTTTGTTTCAGAGTGGCAATCAATACCTAGGCTAACAATATTATGACTTACCTGTTCCACCAGTATATTTATTATCTTACTTTTACTTTTTACTTTTATCCTCTTCGCCACTGATCGGCTCGCTAGCCGCCCGGGCGATTGGTCACGTCTCTGTCACGCACTGTTGAGTGTTGTGCTGTTTTTTCTTAACGTTTTACACGTAAATCAGAAAACTTCCACCTGACCTCTCAACAACATTGTTGGGTATTAGAGCCACAACATTCGCTGCCTTTACTACTTCTTACAAAACATGATTCTTCAATTTGATTGTACATCTCGAGTCCAATTCCCCTAAAATTATTTTCTTTCTTTTGGCGACTTCACACACCATGGCGCATGCTTCACACACCATGGCGCATGCTTCACACACCATGGCGCATACTTCACACACCATGGCTCATTCTTCAGTCTCACTGAAATTTGGTCGTTTCTTCAGGTGGTTGTCCTTCCATCTTTTGTTTACAAACTAATATCACATGCGCTGTTCTCAGCTGATTTCTCCTTCTCTTGTGATTGGTTGATGATTTTGTTATCTGTGCGCTGATTGGCCAACTAATTCCTGGACTGTCATCTACCTTCCGACAAGAGAACTGAATTTACAGGGTAAACACTAGAGTTATGATAACTTACGGACTGATTAAGGAACTGTAATTAAATTTTGAGTATGCTAAATTTACGGGACTGTGAGGAATCTGCAATATATGGTACTGTATCTCACTAATATATGTAACTTATGAGGTGTTTTGAGTATCCGGCCCCTGGTGTTTAATGTGGATGAGACTGGATTATTTTGAAGAAAATTCCAGATAGAACAAACATTACCTAAGAGGAGAAGAGTGAGCCATGTTTTAAGGCTGTATTAAAGGGTATAGCTGTACTAAATATATAGCTGTACAAGACGACAAAAAGTCTTTTTCAAATCCTTGATATAGCGCAGGATGTTGTTCACCGTTACAGGACAAAATGATGAAGGCGTGAGGTCTGTGGTGTAACTCTGTTGAAATTTAACTGAAAATTCCTCAAGATTTCAACATCAATCCTTCATTTTTTCTTTATTAGAAAATTTGATGTTTTCAGGGGTTGCACTCATAAATATAGCCAGAAATTATAATTTATGTTGCATTATAAGAATCTAAATAATTTCCATTCTTTTCCAGTACAGAGAAACTATGACCCAGACCTTCATCCTTTAGAGGCTGTTCGTGAGTATAAGTTAGCCATGAACGCTGTCAAACTAGAGAGGGTGTTTGCCAAACCTTTCATTGGCAGCCTCACGCATTCTGAAGGAGTTTCTGCCATTTGTCGTCACCCGAGTAGATTGTCATGTGTGTTCACCGGCACAGTTGAGGGAGAGGTAAGTAAGACCATGATAACAGTTACTGTTTCCAACTAATGAGTAACATCATGGTTTGATATTAGAATTTAGGTTCCTTGTTTTTTCTCACTTATTATGATAATCTTTGTACGTTGCCTACAAGTGACCTGTGAGATTTTACTGAATAGAACACTCTTTGGCAGACCCTACTGTGTAGTGGTAGATTATATATTACTAAAAGACCATTGTAAATTTCTGTATAACAGTTTGTTGCCCAGTGAACCAGGGAGATTCAGTGATTTGAACTCTGTCCCACGATTGTTTTTAAATCCATTGAATTCTGGATTACCATAATAAACACTGCTAGGAAGGTTCACTCATTCAGAATGAGTGGGATGAACTCTATTCTGAGGGTTTACTTGCTCAGGATCCCCGGAATAAAGCCTAATAGGAGTGTTAACTTGCATCTCCTTACCTCCACAGCCATTCATATATGCTCAGATGCTTTGGGCCTCACAGTTATAACCTAAGCCTGTCAAGAGTGGCTTATATTAAACCCACTGAAGGTCTGGGTTATCTGGACCCAGGGAATCCCTGACCTAAAAGTGGCCAGGGCAATGATTGAAAGATAAATTTATTGCAGTGGATCTGTTTTCTTCATGACTTTGTCAGAGTATGGAATAATTTGCCAGCTTCAAACAGGATTTCTTAGTGCACTGGAAGTTCTCCAGTCCAATTTCCTTGGGGCCAATCTGTGTTTGAATTATATTTATAGAAACTTTGCCAGTGGTATTTACTGTATGTATATTTGATGCAGTTTTAAAATGTTAGCTACAGTATATGTACAGCCAAGAGCAGATATTCATTGCCAACCAGTCTGCATATGAGGCATCTGATCTGGTAACACTGTATGAGAAGAGTTGACAGATATGCCATAATTGTCTAGTTATTTATGATTGGAGATTGACCAAGAATACATTTATTGTCCATTATTTAACTTAATTAGTTTCACTGTGTAATGTTATTGAGAAATATATGACATTGCTGGGGATCCAGATGTATACAGTATATGATTATGGCATCACAAAAATTGTGACCAAGTTCCAGGTTGCTGATCTGACTTTCTGCCTCATTTACACACAATTGCAGGATCTCAATTGTTTCTCTTACTGTCGACAACACAACATACATATATTGTTCCTCACTTTTGATTTATTTTTTTAATTTTGTATTTCTTTGTGGTTTTTATTACTATTATGATTATTATTGTTATTATTATTATTATTATTATTATTATTATTATTATTATTATTATTATTATTATTATTAAATTTTCGCCCCCCAGGCCCCGATGTGGGTCAATGACATGTGCCCGGGTGGGCTAATTCCCGTAAAAAAATAAAATTTCATATTGCTGATGCCATTGAAGCTAAACAAAAATGGACGACCACAGCTAGAAGGTGTTAACTCAAATAATTTATAATTCCTTCACTGTGAGAGGTCATTCAAAAGCTGAATAAAGTTGTCAGTCAATTAGCAGAATATATGAAAGTTGTTATTGTACTGGTGCTAATAAAGACATTATATATTGGTAACCATTTACTATCACCACACATTGATGTTAATTAAGGTACTGTATATGTACACTACTGTACTGTATCCAAGAAATGTAACCTTAACTAATCTCGGATCATAAATAACAAGACAATTAAAGTACATCTCCCAACCCTTCCCCCATACAGTGCTACCAGATCACTTGACTTACATCATGCAGGTTAGTATACATAAATATTAAGTATACCACAAAGTGCTTGAGGTGCCACCATTGCTCATTTAATTTACGCGTAACTGAAGAAATTGAGGCACACTTACAAACACTTTTGCTCATTTTTATGTCTTTGTATTCCTCGAGTTCATTTATAAATTGCATTAAACACTTTTGTAAATTATAGTCTTGATAATGTTGCACTGTGTGATTTTGACTGTACAGTATTTCAGTCAGCATCACACTTTTCTCCAGCTAAGTAAAGTTTACACAACCTGACACCATCTCAGAGGAATGGACCAATCATAGATGCCACCTTCCGTTATGCATTTGAATCAGTTGTCCAATTGAGAATAAAGCAATCATGAAGACCAGCTTTCATAACATCATCTACATATTGTCATGGGACTAAAATCATAAGATAACACTGATGTTTTCACTTAACCCTTTTGGTGATCATGATTGGGCTAAATGGGGAAGTAAAGAACAAGTTTTTGGTTGAGTTGCTGCATAAACAGTAGTATGAGAGCCAAGTGTAGGGCCAGAAGAGGGGTTTACAAGGCTAAGAAGAGACAGTAGGATGCATTTGTGGATAAGGTGAACAGTGACCAACTTTATACTGTCTGGAATACCATTATGTCAGTAGCTAGAAACAAAGACGTACTGTACTGTAGTTGGAGAAATAATTCTGAAAGAATGGTTGTTGGATGTGGATTTTGACTGGGACAGGTGAAGCAGCAGTCAGTGCTCTACAGGGACCATGCATAAAAAGGGAAGGAGAATGGAATAGGAAGGAAAGTGACAAAATGGATAATTGGAAATGTTGCTATTAGCTCTGGAATAGTTTCAGAAACATGTGACGATGGTGACTGAGTTGACAAATGCTATTATGAAAGAAAGTATTGCTTCGGCTGAGTGGCTGAAGAGCACGATTAAGAATATTCACAATGGAAATGGTCATGCGCTTGTAAGTGGAAACTACAGGAGTATGAAAGTTGTGGAAAGGATGACCAGGAAATTGATAAGGGAAGGAGAGAAAGTTCTTCATATTTATAGACTTAGAGACAGCATTTGACAGGGTACCAAGTGAAGTGGTAAAGCATGTAATGGGAGAGTGAGGGGCTCAAGGAGTGTCCTGTTTGAATGGGTATGACATTATCTGTGAGAGTAAATGGCGGAAAATGAGAAATTTGAGGCAGAAGTAGTGGTTCGTTGGGCGGGTCTTGAGTCCACTTATGTTTATCGTTGTACTAGAGGCAATATCATGCAACTTTTGGACTGGTCTACCCTGGGAACAGTTATATACTGATGGTTTAGTGCTGATATATGATAATATTGAAGAAGAGTAGAGAAATTTAAGAACTGGAAGGATGGAATAGAGTCAAAGGGCTTGAGAGTAAATGTAGTACAGCCCCCTTCCCCCCCCCTAAATTCGCAGGGGTTAGGTTCACAAAATGGCCGCAATTAACATTTGCGGACGGGGGGGGGGTACATTTTTACTTGTGTATAAAGAAATGAAATGTATATTCCCTTTATGTGTTTGCCCTTAGGACAATTATTTCTTTTACCTGTAGTATTGTATATGTGTGAGTGTGTGTAGACACACACACACGCAGAACACATACAGTACAGTAGAACGTCAGTATAATGCGAGATACGTTCCAAGAGAGATTGCTTTAAATCGAATTCACACTAAATCGAAGTGTTGCTTCATTGGAATAATTTAGTTTGGTTTGGTACCTGAGAGAAACACAAAATACTAAAAAGACTTTTATTAGCTAATAAATATGAGAAAAATATATGGCGCAATGATATATATGCAGCAAACACTCATAAATCAACACAGCTTAAATTACTGGACGCAAAATGGTCTGTTTACTAGCGACCAGCTGATGTGAGAGGGTGGTCACACTAGCGCCTCTCGTCTGCTTCACCCCATCCCTACCACTCACCAAGCATCTTCACTTTCCTCTCAACTTAGTTTTTCATTACTTTATGCTGGTTCTCCCTGCCCTGACTGAGAGTCTACCCAGATACACTAGAACTCATAAATCACTACTGTAATGTAATACTGTACAGGTCCACAATCCCTTATCCCTTATTTGAGGTGTATAATGTATGCTTTCAAATTATTCGCTTTCTTGCAAGGATTCCAGCAATGCAAATTATATTCTCCTAACTTTAGTCTGTGACATTTTATAAGATAAACTTAATAAGTGATAAACTTAAACTCCCTCTATATGACGGATAAGACGCACAGGATTAATCTCCCCGCCGGCTGGTGAATACCCCACCTCACCCCCCACTCCTCCCCCTCCCAGCAAGGGTTTGGTGGTTATACAGTAGGCTTTAAGTTTTTATCTAATATAATATCACAGACTAAAGTTAGGAGAATATAATTTGCATTGCTAGAATCCTTGCAAGACAGCGAATAATTTAAATAAAAGTGTCATATATTTTGCACAAGAGATAAAAATTTTAGCCCTTTGTAATAAAACTAATTAGAACATGTCAGTTCAGTGACATTTTAAAAGAGAAAAACTTCTCACTCTTGAGGACAGATAAATAAATAAGCACTAGACCTTGGCATCAACTGTCAAACATATCACTTCCCCTCCACCCCCGCATCTTCCCATCAGCTGATCCCTAGTAAACAGACCAATTGTGACGAAACTGGTATTTTCTGGAAGCGCTCACCTAAGACCACCCTCATTGCCAAGGATGAAAAACAGGCAAGGGGCGTATAGGCTTCAAAAGACAGGATTACAGTTTTATTCACAGTTAATGCAGGTGAAGATTTCTTGATGAAACCCCTGTTTGTTCACCGTCCTAGAGCCTACCATCATGCCAATATGTCGCAGCTCAATGTTTATTGGACGTCTAATAAGAAAGCTTGGGTTACAACGTCTATATCCACCGATTGGTTTGACAAGCACTTTGTTCCTGACGCCCAACAGTACCACATCGCTTTTGCAGCCACTTGACCATGAATTCATCAGTAATGTTAAACTGTTCTACAATCAGTCACTCTATAAAGACTTTCGTCAGCAGACAGACTAATTAGTTGAGTTACAACAAATCGAAGCAGAACTCTCTGACATTGATCAGGCTCTACCAGCTAACCAGGTGGAGGAGGAGATGGTAAACGACCCGACTCCTAGCACCTCACCACCCCGCAACTGTGAAGTGTTATCAGCTTGTGAATTTTGGAAGAAATTTAATATTAAGAATACAGTGGACAGAATTGTTGAGACATGGCATAAGATTAATGTTG